ATCAATGCCAGCATTGACATGACCAATATTACCATCACCATGACCAGTACCATTATGACTATTATCACATTTCATGAACACATATTTTGTGACGTACACTGTGCTGAATGTTTTTTTTCCTGTTTTTCATACTTTGTGGAAAGAAGTTTCTCTTGATATGATTCTTTTTACCTTCATTTTATTTAAAGAGAAACTGGAACTCGAAGAAGGAAGTGATTTGTTTGAACGCATACCTTAAGACAATTACAGGGCAAGAGTTCAAACCTAAGTTCTCCTTCCATCTCTACCAGTACATATCCTCATTATACCTATGTACATTTTTCATTAATCATAAATAATTTACCCACACTTGAGCACTCTAGTCTATCTGTTCATTGTGTTGTATCAGGCACTGTATTCATCTCACTCCCAAGAACCATATTATTTGTATGTGTCATGTATTTCACTACTTGGCTTGTTAACTAACTATATGTACACTGTACAGTCCCTGAGATTCAGGGAGATACAGTGACTGACCCAAGGTGTCATAGCATATGTACCTTGTTATGGGGTAGCAAAACTAAAGCTTTCAGACTGTCAACAAATGATGCCTCTTGTTTCTTACACACACACACACACACACACACACACACACACACACACACCATATTTTGCCTGCTACCTCCCTGTTGAATATGAGTCAGAATCTAGCCCTTGCCTGTCTCCTAGCCTGAGACAAGAGCCACAGCCAGAGCTTTGTGATACATTTGCCCAGGCTGCATTCCTAAGTCATTCACACCCATAGATGAAGGGGTAAGCATGGGCAGCTGACCCAGATGAGAAAACCCAGGTCTGAGCACCATCCTCTAGCCAAGAGGAAAAGAAAGAGAATCCTCCCTTGACTCATTGATTCAGTCTTGTGAAGAGAGCCTGGCATGAGACAGCCTAGTCACATGGTTATTGGGCATCTTCAAATATTATCTGGTCACCATGGTGTATGGCAGGTTTTTATGAAAGGCCACATAGAAAGAACTCTAGATAGGAATTCAGAAACTGGAAATCAGGCTCATAGTTCTTACTATATTAACTGTGATTCTTGTCCCTCCCTATGCATAGGGATCTTCCTTTGCATTGAGTTGAGTTTGACTCTTTTTCTTGCTTTTGGGGGTATGAGCATGGCACTGAGAAATGATGATAAACACAGATGCATGTTCCTGGCTACCTGCCAGCTAGTGACTCACTTCTTTGCATCTTAGTTTCCTCTAAGGTATAAGACAGGGATAGTAAGAATAGCTACCTTATTAGGGTTGCTGGGAAGCACAGAATGAGATAATGCAGGTGGAGAGTAGCTCGGGGCTAGGTTCACCATAAGGGACAAAGGTATAAGAACTTGTTTGGAGAGGAGCTAATTTCATTGAATCTCACCAGAACATTGTGGAGATTTTATGAAGACATCATCTCTCACATGGAGCCGACACATGAATTCCAAACTTTTACCATGATTTCATTAATATACCTATATTTAAAGAATATGGTAGACACAAGAAGGTGTTAGATTTCCTTTGGAACCCAAGTGTTCTCGACTTTTATCATGTTCTAATTGCATTCCCTACTGTTTACTTGTAGATGTGTCTGTTTAAGAAATGTTAAAACTTCCAGAGTTGGCCTTGCTAGGATGGAGAATAGAAGTCTCAATCACACCTAACCAGACAAGTGTGAGGATCAGCTGGTCCCAGAACTCTGCCTTCCCATGGCTTTGGAGAATTTAGTGGAACTAAGGAGGGAAGGAAAGGAAACAGGCAAGGCAGACTTTGTTGGTAAAACTATTTGTTTCTAGTTCTTAGGCAAGATGTATGAGTAGCTCAGTGGGAAAAAGCTTGCTTAGCCTGTATAAGGCTCTAGACTTAACACAACACACACACACACACACACACACACACACACACACACTCACACAAACAGAGCTACATTATTTAAGTATTTTTTTCTGCACAGGGTTTGCTTTCCTATTTTTTCCATACTAACAAATATTTTCAGCCATATTGGATAATAGATCATGAAGATCAATGCTTACTATACAAATCAGGAAACTATGATGTGTGCTAGTTATCTGTTTCTGCATCCATGTGCCCAGCCACTGATGAGTCTACTAAGAGCTATCACTTGGTTAAGATTCAGTTCAACACTAGCCCCTCCTCCTTCCCCAACTAAGAAGACACACAAATGAGAAACAATTCTATGTGGAAAGTGTGTAAAAATATGCTGTGATATTCTAAGACCAAAGAAAAGGGGGATGAAACTTGACATAAGATATGTAGAACAGTTAGGACAGAGGAAAATGAAAGGCTAAGGTCATAAATATGGGAAAATATGTAGAGTGTTTAAAAATTCTAAGTGACTACTTAAGTAGGAGAAAATGTACAAATAAGGTCTGAGAATCATGTAGTGCTCAGATGACATCGGCCTTAAGCTTAGGGTAGAGTGGTTGAATTTTCTTCTAAGAGATAGAATTTGCCAGATATTTGGATATGCAGGTCACAGATATGAAGTTGCCCTGGTGATACAGAGCTCAATAAGAAAGAGTTACAGGGAGAGTACAAAGAAGCCAGTAGAGGTAACTGGAAGGTTTTAAGGATAGAATTTGAGCAAGGTCAGGAGAAAGGGTTGGGTGAGAGATGAACAAGTTGAAGACAAAGTCTAGATGATGATGTGAAGAAAGTTACAAGAGACAGGGAAGATCGTGGCATATGTAAGACAAAAGTCTGACTCTGTATGTCCTATTCTTGACTGAGCATACCCAATGTGTTAGGCCATGTTCTGGGGGATTCTGTGTGGTTCCTCACGTTTTATCCTCACAACTATATGACATGAGGTAATGGTGCTATTTTAGTATCTATTTTATATATGTAGAAACTATGGGCTATGAGACAGAAAGTTTTAGCCAAACTGTTGAGTGAATATGAAGCAAAGACATGTAGTCCAGGCCTTTGGGCTGCCAGTGTGGTCCTGTCCAGACTAGGTCAGCAATTGGAGTTTGTCTCAGATTCTTATTTACTTTCTCCACCAGGGAGAGGGGATTTCTCTGTATATTTTCCAGTTCTAATCCTCCTGAAAATGAAGAGGCTGTGGAAAATAAGTCTGAGAAAAACTCTAGGAAGAATGATTGAAAATGTTTTTTTTGGTGTGTCTTTTTGTTTGTTTTGTTTTTTTGTTTGTTTGTTTTGTTTTTCTGCAAATTCTTAGAGTCTAGAATGCAAATATCCCAAAGAAGGAAGATGATGTGAGTGTAAAGGTAAAAACAGGTGCTCAGTGGGGAAGGACTGAAACTGACCAGCACAAGTCTCTGTTAATTGCAATGTAATATGAAGAGATATCTTAGACATGGTAGGGGGCCACAGGGCAAATAGAGAGTAACTCACTCTTTCTGTTGCTTAGGCACTAAGAAAATAATACTGAACAATATTGTCACTATCTATCTCAGTATCAAAGAATTATATTAATGTATTAATTAATTGTATTAATACAAAGATGTACTAGTTTATGTGTCATATATGTACATGAATATTTGTCTGTATAATTGATCACTTAGTTTATCAAGCCCCGTATTAGGTATTTTTCATGAGCTATTTCATATATCCTTTATCACAGTGTCAGGAGATATAAGGATGTATTTCCACAGTTCTTATTTAATGAAGGAGTTTGCTAAGACTTCACATATTCAAGGTTTCCCCTGAGATGAGTGAGAAAAAGGAGCTAAGGTTAATACTTAAATGTAAATTATTGCAAATATTTCAAGTTGGAGAGAAGTTGATAGTTATGGAGATGTGTGTGTTTGTGTGTTAGTGTGTGTGTGTGTGTGTGTGTGTGAGAGAGAGAGAGAGAGAGAGAGAGAGAGAGAGAGAGAGAGAGAGAGAATATTAGCTCATAAGAACATAATAATAAGGGAGAGAAAGATGCTCTCAGAGACAGTCGTGAGCACTTGGAGACCCTGCCTAGGCAGGAGGAGAATGAGGTCATTAAATCCATCTGCGCAGATGGGGGACCCTCTGGGGAAAGTTATAAGCAAATGTCATGATGCAATACAGTGCAATCGACTTGCGTTAGTTCAGGCTGGGACTCCAGCAGAGACTGCACTGTGATCTGTGGAAAGATGGATCATGTGCCGGATGGGGAAGACACTTGCTCTGTTGGGTTTTTCCTACCACTTTCTAGAAAGGCCAGCCAGCCCAAGGTCACAGAGCACATGAAGGGATGGACTGGAAATGGAACTTTGACCTCCTCGTACTTTTTTTATGCTAAAATCTGTTTCCAAGAAATATCCTTCCAAAAAACTTAATTCAAAACTTTTATGTAAAATGTTCCTTGCTCAGGACTTCAGGCCCCATGCAAGTTCACTCAAAATTATTTTATGGATTCTTTTTACTTCATTTTGCTTACCCGAAGGAACTATACTACTATGTATAGAAAGCTTTGTTCTTTTAAATAATGTGTTCACCTCCTTTATTATAATTTGTTCATCACAGAAGCTGTTAGATAGTCCATTGTACAATTATCCTATTAGACTTCATTAGCATTTACTACAATTTTCACCAATGTTGCTCAGCCCATGTAACTTGCTTAGTTCCTTCTAAGGTGCAGACATGAGTAGTTTGTCATACTTTAAACACTTTAAGTAGCAGATAGATCCTTTACTTTGAGGAGACAGTCCCTTTTTTGGTTTCAATTTCATCACTGATTAAAAAAAAAAGTTGATGTGTATAGAACTGTAAAAGGGAATCAGAATCAGTATTTTCTTATCTGAAAAGTACATTCCCTGACAGAAGTACTTCTTCAAATGTAGTCTGCTATAGTAATGACTCTTGTGTTTCAGGAAAAATGTTATTGCAATGCTATCAAAAAGGAGAACTTTGATTTGAACTTGAATTTATTTTTCAAATCTAGTGGCTGGCCCCTTCCTTTTTGCCACCACTCTGAAAACCAGACCAAAAGCATCTGATACATTCTTGTTTTTCTCTCTGCAGGTCACTCCCTTTCCTATGTCTTGTGACCTACAAGACGACTGCGCCTGTCGGGACCCTGAGGCCCAAGAACACAGCCGGAAAGACCTTCGGGGATATAGCCATGGCTAAGGGAAGACAGGTGTCAAAGGTTTCCCAATGCCAGGACCCGCATCCCTCTGGTATTGATTTCACAGTCTGCTGCTCAATGAAATGGCCTCTCCACACCAGGGATCCTTAGCACCCAACCGGTCTGCCTTTAATTTCACCCAGGAAGGACCAACTGTGGGGTGAAGAATGATGAATCATGCTAAAGATGGAGTGGAGTACTATCCTGTAGTCTAAGATGGATTGCATACACAGCATGTAGTCTCAGAGCTTCTGAAAGTTCTTTCTATTTCTCACATGACCATGACCCAAAACAACAACAAAATTGTGTGTGTATCAAGCAGTGTGCACATCTGTGGTTAGTACACAGGCATGCACACACACCCATGCAAATGTCTCTGTGAGGGAAATTTTCAAACTCAGTAGAAAACAACTGGAAAAAAATGAAGAAAATCTAAAAAATTCAACCTTTCATTTCTCAAGCTCCCAACAAACACTATCCTTGGGAGAAGTGGATTATAGAAACTATGACCAAGTAGTAAAAAGCTAATGCATCTCAGAATCTGAAGTTCAGAATATGTAGTATGTTACCATTGTGTAGTGCTTTGGGACTGGAAGTGAAATGGTTGTAATCACCTTCTAGGCAACTAGGGCTTCCAAAATGGTAAATATTCTAAGGTGTACAAAGCTCCCGAATTTTTTTGTTGCCATGGGGGTTTTGTCCCAACACCAGGGTGCAAGGCTGAGCTGGTAATGGCTTAGGACTGCAGAATTAAGGTATTCTATCAGCTCCCTGCTTGAAGCTTGAGGTCTTCATACCCCCTCCAGATTCCACCCATTTTCCAGATCTTCCTTGGGACCACATTTGCTGCTATTCTTCCTGCTGCTCTGCCTAATACATTGAGTGCCCTAAGATGGTAGAACTAGGTTAGAACAAAATCCATATAACCAAGTAGACTGCCTCAAAGTGATTCACCTTTTCCCACAATTCCTCACTTCTGGGCCCATACACAAGAAAAAAAAAAAACTTCAAGGGCATAAGTCTTTCATGAGTAGACTTCTCATTCTGGAAAAGAGTTGAGGGATGCCAGATGCTGGAGCCCTTCCTGAAAGTCCAGAATGTCTAACCCAGTGTTACATTTTCTAATCAAGTGGAACAGTGTTAAACTTGGGAATGCTGGAGCTACCCAGAGACTGTTGGAATAGCAAGGACTTGAGTTATTGTTCTTATCCGAGTCTTCCTAGATCTTTAGGCTAGAACAAGCTTTGGTCTTGAGACTCTCACTATTACTCCAAGCAGATACAGTTCTGAAACATCTTGGATATTGGCAAAGTAGACTGTATACTAGAGGAACTTCAAAGGGAAACCCTTGAGATCCAGACTGAGCACCCAATATAGTCATCACATTTTCCACATAATTTTTCAGATGTTAGGACATCTTTCCACATCCATTACTGGGCACCACTCCTTCCCCTCACATATTTAGTCTTTAAATGTTAAGAGGAAATGAGTCACCTGAACACAGAAGCCAGCAATGTATGCACGGCCTTTTTTTTTTTTCTGACTCTTTTCAGTTATCTATATATACAGTCTGAATTAATATGGGAAGAGATTAACACAGTATGATGAGGATAGAATAGCTAACTTTGACCTAATTTATGAAAGGTGGAACAGGGAAGCAATAATATGGGAGGGTCTAAATGAATTATCCAACACAAAGATGACAGTACATAAATTGATCTCAAGTCTAGTGGAGATAACCAATAAAAGAAAAGTCTCGGACAGAAGGCAAAATGCCAGCCCAGCATTACTTGTTAATCTATCATGTCCCATTTCTACTAGGAACAACAATAACTTTGCCAATTATGTTTTTATACTATGACCAACAGCTTTTTCTTGCTGATCAAGAACACTTGAAAAGGTATCTATTGACCCTCTATGGTCCATAATGTCAAGAAATGTACCAAGGTGTTTTTGCACTGTTTTGCAATATTTGTACCCACAAATATTGATACAGTGCTTATAATATGCAGCTTGTCCTGTCCTTTAGCCTCTGAGGTTGAAGTCTAGAGTGGAGAAGTGGCCACCAATGTGATGGGAAAGCATTTTGCTCCTCCAAGTCATATCTCATTTATGCACAGGTCATTACCCTCTTGGATTTCTTGGACCAATCTTTAGCAAAATATAAGAAAAATCTTTCATGGAACCAGTCTGATTATGATCACCTCTCCGAGGTCCTCAAACTTTTGTCAACCCTTCAGGTCTCTCTTTTGCTTAGATGTGTTGTGTTAGCTTAGAAGGAACAAGCAAAAGAGTGGTGACAGGGCCATCCCTCCCAATAAGTAATCCAGAAACCTCCAAAGACCCAAAGATGACATTATCAATCGGAGGGTTGTAGAACCAAGAAAGATCTCAAGAACTTCTCCCAATCAATCCTCATCCAACTCTTTCTTGGGTCTCACTGTCATCTGTTCTTATGCTCTCCAGCTGGGCAAAGATTTCTAGAGGCTGGCTCCTCTGTTAGGAGTCATAGACTGAATTGGGGGTGGGAGAACACTCCAGGAAGAGCCCTATCCAGTTTCTTCCTTAATGCCATTCAAGCCAGTTATGAACAAATTCATATTTGCTGAGCCTAATAGTTAAAGAGGCTACTCAATTGGTAGCCTGTCTCATGCCCACAAGGGATGTGTAATTCATAAGGTCTACTCAGATCTTAGTGCAGGACAGTCAGCTGTATTTTTGCAATGCACTGATTCCCAGTTTCATTTTCTTCCTGAGAATAAACTCCTTGTCATATCTCCTCAGTCATCTGTTTTGGACAATGGGATAATCAGGAGGAGGCGGGTCTGAAGCACTATTGTACATCCACAGCTTAGGGGCCCTAAAGCACTTGGGAGATCTGCAGCTGAAGCAGTATAAGTCTGTTAGCAGCCAGGAAGCAAAGATGAGATGGACAGTTCTCTGAGCCCCATCTGGGAAATTGTTCCAAACCGCAACACACTGTCTGCCCAAAGGACTTGCATTACCCCCTAGATTTTGTGCCAACAGCCTCCTGAGGGAAGTCAGTGTGGGAAGTCAGTCAGTCCTTAGGAAGTCAGTGTGGGTAGGTGAGGTGGGGTGTAAAGCAAAGGAGAGATTAAAGGTCTTAAATAGCAGGTCTTTGCAGAAGGAGGGGATCAGCTGCTGCTCTTGGCCTCAGCATACTGGGCCACTGCCGAGACCATTCTCTGTCTCATTCCCACATTGGCCAATGCTTAAATGCTATTTGTTGAAAATAATTCTTTGGGACAGATTTCAGCTACCTCCCTTCCACGTTTGATTTAACATGGTTGTAACTGTCAATTTGTTAAAGGTCTTACCTGTGTGGATTTTTAAAAAAAGAAATAAATAGAAAAAGACATGAAAGAAAGAAAAGAACAGGAAGGAAAGCAGTCATGTTAACCGTTTCAGTGTGTGTGTGTGTATGTGTGTGTGTGTTTATCTGTGTGTCTTTATGTGTATGTATGTCTGTGTGTGTCAGTGTGTGTGTGTGTGTATGTGTGTGTGTTTATCTGTGTGTCTTTATGTGTATGTGTGTCTGTGTGTGTCAGTGTGTGTCTGTGTGTGTCTGTGTGTATCTGTGTGTCTTTGTGTGTGTGTGTGTCTGTGTGATTTTTTTCTGGAACTACTTCAAATAAGGAAATAAATAGAAGGAATTGAAGGTGACAAAGCTGTAAAGACTGAAATTAATAGAAGACTAAGTGATTACAAAGGACTAAAATGCATGATTAAAGTCTAAGAATATGAACCTTATTTTTATGCTTCCTCGAGGAGACTATTCTGTAGACTGAGTAGGTAGATATGACATAGAGATTTCTCTAGAAGATGTGGAGTGAGATGCTATGGCACTGACTAACATTTTCTGAACATTGTGGTAGGTCCAGGAAATAAGGTATTTTTTCTCTCTTGAGTTGTTGTTAGCTAAGCATTCAGTTCATTTCTTTGGTGACTGTCCGTGGTAGAGGGGATGGGAGAGGGTTTGATATTGATTTTTACCAAAATATTAAGGATACGAACTGTGTCTTTGTCCTTTTTCCACTCTAAGATACTTGTATTTGTCAGTACAGCCCTGAGCTCCCTAAAGACTACACTGAGAACCACACTGCACAGCTCTGTTCTTACGAAGCTGCTCCATGGCCAGGCAGATCATCCCACTGAATACTGAGAAAGAAAACAAACCAAGTAAACAACTAAATAGAGAACAAAGTTTCTAAAACTCCTCCTTTTGTGATTTATTTGAGTTTTCCCAAATTCCTAGCTATCATTTCCTTTGTAAAAACAATGTGATAATGATCAAGATAGAAGTGTATATGTCTGGCCCAAAGCTCCAGAATGCTTGTCTTCAGCCATCAGTTTACAAACTGATCTTGGATAAGTCATCAAATTGCCTCCATAATTGCCTCAGTTTCTCTAGCTAAAAAATGGGGATACTACTACTTACCTACCTCATAGTAGGAGGATCATAAGGCCCTGTAGGAGACCTAGCCTGATGCAAAGTTCATAGGTTTTTTTTTTTCCCCTGTAAAATGCACATGCTCATTGCCCATTTCAGAGACAGGGAGTGCTTGATTGACGTTTCATGGCACAAAGCTGGAAGGCCTGGATTACCATCCACCTTACGTGAGTGTGCTGGGAAATATTTTACTCTTCAGATAAGTTTCCCCTTCATTATTCTGGCCTTTGTCGATCCAATGATTTGATCAAAATCCAATGGCTTCCTACAGTGTAAAAGTCAGTCTACTGTCATCTAGTTAAGATTGGGGTGGGGGAGAATTTCAAATTTACAAAGTAAAAGGGTCTGACATCTCTTCTCCAGCAAAATCCTCACTTCTCAGACTTAGTTTCCACACTACATGGATCATTAAGAGAAGAGATAACATTCTGAGTGTAAGTTGGGCTTCTTAAACTTCACACCAGCAGCCAGTGAAGAAAACTTTGAACAATTATTGAGTTGCTTTCTTGGGCCTCTATAATCAATAACCTGTCTGCAGATATCTATCTATATAAAGATATTATATATAAATAAAAATTTACATATATATGCACATGTATATATAACTGTACATATATGTGTGTATATATATACTTAAATGTAATATTTACAAAACTGTGATCTCATCTAGAGAAAATGTATTCATATTACAAACTGCTCTTCCATATTTATGTATTATATTATACCTTTTTATTGCTGTCATAATTATTGAGGGTATTTCTAATTATTATGATGTTAGAATCTGTTTAGCACCTTCTGGAAGCAACCAAAAAATATGACTTTTTATTGAAGTGCTTAGAATCTGTTCTCATGAAAATTGTACTGGTCTACTGTAAAACAAACAAACAAAAATAAACAAAAAAACTGAAAAAAAAGAAGAAAGAAAGAAAGAAAAAGAAAGAAGGAAAGAAAGAAAGAAGGA